AGCGCCAATTTTGGCCAGTGTTTGTGACTAAGTGGCTACTAAAAAAGACTGGACATACCCCGTTTGCAATACCTTGGGTTGTCTACTATTGCAAATGGTATGCCATCATAGGGGTAATTTTCATTCTTGGGCTACCATAGGGTCTCAAAGGCAATGTAACCAATCTGGCGAATTTTAATGTGAAAAAAATGAAACGCAAGCCTTATATTTGACGCTGTAAGTTTTGAAAACACCATAAAACCTGTACATGAGGGGTACTGTTGTACTCGGGAGACTTCGCTGAACACAAATATTAGTGTTTCAAAACAGTAAAAAGTATCACAGCAATAATATTGTCCGTGTAATGCTGTTTGTGTGTGAAAAATGCAAAAAACGTCACTTTTACTGGCGATATCATCGTTGTAATACATTTCACTGTTTGGAAAAACACTAATATTTGTGTTCAGCGAAGTCTCCCGAGTAGCACAGTACCCCCCATGTACAGGTTTTATGGTGTCTCGGAAAGTTATAGGGTTAAATATAGTGCTAGCAAATTAAATTCCCTTTACTTTCGGCATGGGTTGTGAGGCAGGTCCTGCTAATTGTAATTAATTAAGATACCTAATTATGTAAAAATAATACATAAATATATATGTAGAATTAATATATGTATAGATATACGTATGTGTATATATATATGTATATATCTATATAATTTTAAAAAAATATTTTTATTTATATATAGGTATATATATAGTAATATATACGTATATATTTATGTATATAGATATATATATTATTTTGTTCTACGTGTATTTTGATATATATATATATATATATATATTAATTTCACAATACAGTTAGAACGAAATAACACACATCTATATATTTTTTAATTATTTATTTTTAATTATTTTTTTAATTTTATTCTTTAACGTATTTACATTTTATTTTTTTTTATAATATATATAAATATATATATAACAATAATTATATATATTTAATCAGTATCAGTCTACGTGTAATTTGATATTATATATATATATATATATATATATATATATATATATATATATATATATATATATATATATATATATATTAATAGTAAAATACACCTAGGCGGTGTACATGTGTGTATGTATATGTGTATATATATATATATATATATATATATATATATATAATTTTTTTTTTTACACCATTAATTTATTTTCATTTTATTTTCAGCCAGCAGGGCGACCACCTGTCATTACAGACAGCCCCCCTGCTGGCAATGCAGAAGCCAGCTATCCCCGGCCATGTGATTGTGGGGTCCTTGCTAGGACCCCACTCTCACACGGCCGGGGGGCTTCCTGGGAGTCCCCCCCACCGCGATCGCCGGCGTGGGACCGCCGGCGACCGGGTAAGTACCGAAAGACCGGAGGGCGTACTATTACGCACGGCGGCGTTTAGAGCCGCCTATTAGAGGGCGTAATAGTACGCCCTCCGGTCTGAAGGGGTTAATTGTGAAGTTGCCTGTTTGTAAGAAAAAGAACTTCTTTTATTAATTTGGGAAATTATATAAGATTTTATAATCTTTTATAAGAGCTCCACCATCACTACATACACAATTGCACACTATTTAAACTCAGAGTCATGTGAGTTTATCCGTCAGGGGTTTCTCAAGGGGATTTTATTTTAATTTTATCTGCACTACATACATATATTCTTTTTGCAATAAGAACCATTTTGTGGATTGTAATAATATTTGATGTATAAGTGTGTCTTGCAGAACTGGCACATTAAAGATTTTTTTGCACATTGTCACTTTAAATGTTTTAACATTTCACATTGTGACACTTTATGTTAATGCATTGTGTGCACATTGTATGGAATTGTACTGCAGGTTTTTAAAGTGTGCAGTACTGTAATATTTGGTTTATAATTTGCATTTAGTGTGTTTGGTGTCTACAGCTTGAAAATTAAACTTTGTGCTTTGTATTCTTTCAAGTGCCTCAGACTCAGTTTTTAATATATTAGGTTCTAGACTTTGGATGAGTTTAATCTAAAAAAAATAATTAACTAAAATAGTGTTGACTGCAAAATTTTGGGCAACCCCGAAAAATGGCAGAAAAATTGTGTGTTTATATATATATATATATATATATATATATATTTGTGTTCGGGGCAAATAGCCGTATATGGAATAAGGTTCCACAATAAGCGTAGGATAGTATAAAGGGAGCAAGTTGGTTGTGGTGTGCCGAGACCGACGATACGGTAGGCCTGTAAATAAAGAGGGCCCACCAAGGAGTAAGTAAAGTAAATGGAAAGAAAAGAGAAAGAGCACGGTCCTCTAGGGTAAACAATAGGCACAGTCCTTGTAATTGCATATACTCCAGGCACTTTATTTGCAAATCCACACAGGATACAGCAGTAAATGAAAACATAAATGTAACAGGTTTCCCTTTAAACAAAAACCTAGCTCGTCTGAGCACTGACTCACTTTGAATAACCCTCTCTATCAGGGTTAAACTAACAAAACATACTGCACCAACCTTATTAGTTAGCAACACTCTGCTAGCTAGCCTGTTGCTTTTCTTTCTCCGCTCCAAGCCAGCCTTGCCCTGACTGCTTTCCTTTCTGCACTCCTAGTGCTCCAAGCCAGCCTTGGCTGCTTCCTCCTGCACTCCCAGTGCTCCAAGCCAGCCTTGACTGCTTCCTCCTGCACTCCCAGTGCTCCAAGCCAGCCTTGACTGCTTCCTTTCTGCACTCCCAGTGCCTGGTCTCCTTGACTCTATCTGGAGAGAAAAGCCTCTCTCCTACCTGCTTCCTGGGAGGAAGCCAGCAATCCCTCTCCTTTACCTGCCTAGCAGGGAGGGGTTTATTCCCACTGCAACAGCTCATTAACTGGAGCTGAGCAGTGGGTTGGAGAAGGTCCAAAAAACCCTGGCCTGGATCTACGTCTCCCCAGAAAACCACTAAACTGTGGAGTGGAGCATTGGCCCACCCTTCTCTCCAAATGCTCCACCCCAGGGGCCAATAACTAAACAATGCTTTGTGTTGTGCAACACACAAACTACACGTACTTCCCCTGGGGTTAAAAGGCCTATCTGCCTTCACTTTATCACAATATATATATATATATATATATATATATATATCAGCTCTAAAATTTTAAATTAGTAGTCCATAGTTAACCCCTTCGCGATGCTAGATGGAAATTTTCCATCATGCTTGTCCTTGCGTTCAGTAAATGCCAACATTTACTAAAGTTAACCACCAAGTTAATGCTCCTCTGGTCTGCATCGGTATTCGAGCGCTGTCCCTGCAGTTGTGATCTGTGAGAGCGAGCACGTTTTGCAGGGACTACTGATGTGCCTCCCTGCTCTTTTGCGTTCAGTGTGAAGTGCAGCGAGATGGATCAGTGCTGCTGACCTTCTCCCTGTAAAAAAATAATTAAAGTTAAAATCCACCCCCTTTTTACCCTGCTTTAATAAAATTAAACTCTTCCCTGCCCATTCATCACTGACTACAGTAAGAAAACTGTTTTAAAAATGACTGCAGTGATTAATGGGCATGGACTACATTTTACTGTGATTTGACTTTTTTTTTTTTTTTAACCCCTGAGGATTAACTTTTTTTTTCTTTTTTAACCCTCAGGGCAGTACTGGGATTCTAGTCTTTGATCTTGTTGAGATTAAAGGGTGTTATGTTCCTGGGCACCATCTTATATCTGCTTTGGCCACCATTTTTATTCAGCCCTTCCACATCAATGATACAGCAGGAATGCAGCTAAAAATAAGGAAATAGTGTGATTATATCTCCCCAGTTCCTCTGCTGACATACTATTATTGGTAAATAGCTGAATTAAAATGGTGGTAGCTGGAAAAAGCAGTTAGGACTGTATATATACCAGTTTTGAGGTGACCAGGACATGTAACCATCAGTGTTGATTTTGGTGGCAAATTTCAATTTAGTTTTAGTCATAGTTTTTTGACTAAAAAGCCATTTTAGTTTTAGTATTATTTTAGTCATCTGAATTGTTTTAGTTTTAGTCTAATTTTAGTCCACTAAATCTCCAGTAGATTTTAGTTGACTAAAATCTAATGGGTTTAGTTACAGCCTCTGTCTATTTTGCCCTTTCCCCAGCCCCTCTGTGTCTCTTTGTGTCCTCCCAGCCCCTCTAGGTGTCTCTCTCCCAACTCATGGTCTGTCTCTTTTGCCCCTTCCACTGCCCCTCTGTGCATGGTTTATTTTGGCGGCAAATTTCAATTAGTTGTAGTCATATTCTTTTGACTAATATACCATTTTAGTTCTTGTAGTATTTTAGTCATCTGAATCCATCCCCTGTGGCGTTGGATACTCAACTTCGGACGGTTTAAGCAAGTACCGTGGGGTCAGGTCCCATGGGGGTCGCAACGTTGACCCCGGCCAATTCAATAGGGGCCCCTGGCGTCAGCAGTGGTGCTTGATGCCTCCGGGGAGTCTGCGGTGGATGCCGCTGCGGTCTCTGGGACGGGGGTTGCACCTGCTGCGCACGGGGCAGCCTACATGTGCTAATCAGGCCTGCTGGACCTCCATTTGACACCGGAATTGCGGGCCAAGATAGAAAAGTGGGAATTTGTGGAACTTTTTTCTCTCCTCCCTATGGAGGATATGCCTCGGGCTGATACAGAGGCTAAAGAGTCCGAAAAAGACAAAGAAAAGTATCGGTACCGGAAGATCCCAAAAACTTTTGGGAACTGGATCAGTTCCTTTTCTATCCTGGCCAGCGTGATAGTAGAAAAGACTCCTGAAAGGTAAATCTGCTAATCTGGTGACTCGGTCCCTCTGGTCACTATTCTCCAACCCTCGATTGTCAGCTGAATATTCAGGGAAGATTTTTATGGAAGCGTATTAACCAGACACACACTCTTTGCTTTCCATAATCTTCTGACAATGTATTCAAAATGCTCTGTACTTATACAATATTTGTCACGAAATAGGTTACAAAAAGGTTACAAAAAGGTTACACAAGATACATAAAAGAGGAAGTAGTTTCTGCTGTTACATTCAATAATCTAATCTTACAAAATATCACATATACATTGTGGTTAGGCATTTCCTGATACATAGAAACTGTCATAGCTTGTGACTTCCTTTCAGTTATGTTTTGCAAGCAGTTCTGAAAAGAGCTTGCTACTACATATACAAAATAATTCAATTTATACAATACTGACAGATTAATTGTTTAACCCCTTAAGGACCAAATTTCTGGAATAAAAGGGAATCAAGACATGTCATGTGTCCTTAAGGGGTCAATATTCCTTCAACTCCCAGCAAATGCTCTTCCCTATTTTGCTACCAGGATACGATATGGAATGCTTGTCGGGTGTATGGCGGGTTAGGGCGGTGGCGGTATGACGAACAGTTCCACCAACGTTTAGCGGTTCGTCCTTCCATGGGTTGGGATCAGATAGATATCGGTTTGTGGTTGGCCATCATGACCCGCCCGGCTTCACATCAAGGGGGCCTCTCGTCCTTTCTTCGGGGTGGGGGGCAGCGCAGGGTAAACGGGGCAAGGCTGGTGAGAAAGGGGACACCTTGTGCGCTAAGGGCAAAGACGCCAGTGGACGTCAACACGATGCGTCCGTGGCTAAAGCGTTATAGGAATAGAAAGGCAGCTGCCTTGTTACTGGAAGGTTTTGGGCATGGGTTTTGGATTCCCCACCGGGCTCGGCTGGCATCTGGGATATGCCGGAACCTGTGATCGGCAGCCTGGGGGTGGTCAGGGAAAAATTGGCAAAGGAAGTGGCGTTCGGCCGCATGGCGGGACATTTCCGGGACCCGCCTCTCCCTGACCTCAGGGTCTCACTGTTAGGCGTCATGCCCAAGAGAGAACCGGGGAAGTTTCGGCTAATTCACCATCTATCGCACCCTCAAAGGGGCTTGGTATATAATGATATCACGGTGGAACTTTGCCGTATTTCATACGCTTCGTTCGATGCAGCAGTGGGCATGGTCAGGGCCGCAGGACCCGGGGCACTCATGACAAAAACCGACATTGAGTCGGCCTTTCACCTCCTACCGGTTCACCTGGAGTGCCATCATCTCCTGGGTTGTGCATTTGAAGGGCATTATTACGTGGATATGTGCCTCCCGATGAGTTGTGCGATATCCTGTTTTTATTTTGAATGTTTTAGCTCCTTCATGGAATGGGTGGTGAGAGCGGAGTCTGGTTATGACTCCTTGCTTCACTACTTAGACGATTTTCTGTGTGTGGGTCCTGCACATTCCCCGATATGCGCACAGACTTTGCAATCAGTGGCGCACGTGGCCTGTGGGTTCGGTGTTCCGCTGGCGCCCGACAAAATGGTTGGCCCTTCCCTGTGTTTGTGCTTTCTCGGAATCGAGATTGATTCTGTTATCGGGGAATGTCGGCTCCCGACAGACAAATTGACCGGACCAACGGGGGGCGGTGCGGGAGGCGGGCTCCCTACGGAATATTACGTTACAACGACTTCAATCCCTCTTGGGCAAGTTGAACTTTGCCTGTCGGATCATGCCTATGGGCAGAGTGTTCAACTGGCGCCTGGTGGCCGCCACGGCAGGGATATCAAAGCCGTTCAATTTCATCCGCTTTACCAAGGCGCTCAGGGAGGATTTGGCAGTGTGGGCGTTTTTTCTGGACTGGTACAATGGTAGGTCCTACTGGCAGTGTAGCGGAGAGGTAGTATAATCCACGATATCTCCGCTGGGTAACAGGAACAACAAAGGATAATCCAGGGGAATCAGCATACAATAATCGAAACAGCACTGCAGTAACCCTTCCTTCCCAAGAACTAGATGACACATAGGCTGGGAGTCAACTGAGGTCTTTTAATTCAGCTCCACAATTTATACAAGTCCCCATGCAAGGGGTTTCCTGAGTCCCCTCCCAGGGGCATTCCCAGAGGGGACTACATGGGGGACTTATTGTACAGGACATTTCTCCCATCAGGCACTGCTGCACGAGAGGGATCCTCCCACAGGAATGTACTGTTAAGTGGATTATACCTCCGTGCAGCAGAACTTACAATTTGCATTAAATTGCATAACTTTATGAATATCTGGTCCATTTAAACGAATGGACGTTCGGTAGATAGCTGGGTTCTTAGTGAGATTACCGCTCAGATCCCAGCTAAAACAACCGAACGCCGCACGAAAAAAACATTCATTAAAACATAGCTTCAAAACACCGATTGTATATAAGGGAACAGAATACCGAAAGTCCCGGACCTCCCGAATGGCCTGGAAGCTCAGCGGTGTTCGTGCCGTTGAGTAGCCATTTTTAGTACCATGCGCTCGACGACCAAACACCGCTGAGGGAACAAAGGATCCAAGATGGCCGACCGCCGCATGGTCGGTAGTCGAACGACGGGCACCTTGGAGAGCCTCTAATTACCGATTGCAACATTGTTGCAATCGGTTAATAGGCGCCACACGCCTCTAAGTGTGTGGGCTATTAACTGATGGTTTGTTCGGTTCCCGAACGGCCCGCAAAGGTGCCGTTCGTGAAACGAAAGGGAATCAGCTATCTGCTTTCGGCAGATAGCCCAGGCAGGAAATACAGCATTACCATTACATTACATTACACGCTGGAACACATAACATGAAAACCATACTGGCAACCCTTAAAGAGACAGTACATAAATAATGTCCAAGTGGCTAGGTTTGCCACAGGCAGCAGCCAGAGGTAACGAATGCGGTGCTGCATCTGTTCACGGATGCCGCGGGTTCATCGGGATTTGGGGCTATCCTGGGGAAGCAATGGTGCGCGGAACCTTGGTCTGAAGCATGGCTCGAATCAGGCCTGACCAGGAACATGGCTTTCTTGGAGCTCTTCCCCATTGTGGTGGCGGTTCATCTTTGGGGGCCGTAACTCAAGGACCAGCGGGTCGTGTTCCACTGTGACAACTTGGGGGTGGTACAGGCCATTAATAATTTAACGGCCTCCTCCCCTCCGGTGGTCAGGCTTCTGCGGTGACTGGTATTACGGTGCTTGTCTCTCAATGTGACATGCCGCGCTGTGCACATTCCGGGTGTTGTGAATACCATGGCTGACGCTCTTTTTCGTTTTCAATGGCAGGTGTTTCAGTCGGCCGCACCGGAGCAGATATGGAAGGTCTCTCCTGTCCCTTGGCCTGAGCGAAAAAAGTAATGGATACGGTCTTCGGTGTCAGAGGCGACATGGGTCCGGTATGGTAAGGCATGGGGGGACTGGGTCGCTCTGGAACAGGATCATGGTGGGTATGCCTCTGCTGCTGAAAGGGTTCAGGGTCTTTTGCGTTTGCTCTGGTTCTGGGAGGCTAGCGAGTGTTCCCCGGCTACCGTGTCAGGAAAGCTATCGGGTCTTAGTTTCTGGTTCAACTTAACTCACGTGCCGGACGTTACTAAGGATTGCATGGTTCGGCTTGCGATGCGCGGTTGGCATAGGGATCTGCAAGTGCGGGATTCTCGGAGGCCGGTTTCAGGTGCGCTGCTGCTGGAGATCGTGTCTGACTTATCCCATGTTTGTTTTTCCACTCTGTAAGCTCGATTGTTCCTGGTGGCGTTTACTTTTGCCTTTTTTTGGAGCTCTCCGGATTGGCGAACTCGTGAGCCCTAGCAGGCTGACTCCAGGGGGTTTGTTTTTTTGTGTCCGTCGTGGGTGGTGCAGTGCGTTTCTTGGTGCTGTGGTCCAAAACTGACATTTTTGGCAAAGGGGTATGGGTTACCCTCCGCGCCATCTCTGGATCGGCGGTTTGGCCCATCTCGTCCTTTCAATCCTACTGTTTTCCGGACGTCCGGTTGTCGCGGGCCCGCTGTTGATTCATGGGGATGGTACCTACCTATCTCGCTTCCAATTTCTTCAGGTCTTTCGGTTGGCGCTTGAGCGGCTGGGAACTCTGAGTGAAGACTTTGGGGGTCACTCCTTCCGGATTGGGGCAGCAATAGAAGCCTCTCGTCTAGGTTTCTATGATCAGGCCATTCAGAGGATTGGTAGGTGGGAATCTGGGAGGTTTTGGTCTTATGTACGCCCTATGCGTCTGATCGTTATCCCCCTTGTGTTTTCTCCACAGGGCCTGGCCGATGGATCTGGCTGATCGGGCATTCCTATATCTACTGGGCCCACCTGCGGGCACGGGTAGGCCCAGGTGGGACGCAGCTTGGAATACCTCGGGAACTAGCGGATGTTTGATGGTTCGGGTTCCGGGGCATGAGATGGGCCCAGCTGTTGCCGGAGGTTGTGCAGTTGTCTACTTTGTTAGGGGCCCCGGATGTGTAAGTGGTGCATCTGGGGGAAAATTATCTGGGGGCGCTGCATGCGTGGGGCCTGGGGGAACTGATTAGGTGGGATTTAGCGCTACCTACACACAAGGCCCAGAGGAGGCGGGCAAAAGCTAGCCGGATAAGAGGCATGTGTGGGTGTGGTGGGTGTAGGTGTAATAAGTGGGGGTTGTCATTTAGGTTAGAGGAGTGGGGTGGGGTCATATAAATCAGCAGACATTTTATCCCCTTACCTCAGACATCTTAAACTAACGGTGTGGTAACAACTTCCCTCCCTCCCTTTGTTCTGTGTTGTTATCTTCTTGCGTGTTATTAATTTATTCTCTTGTCACAGCCGGCAGGTATGGTCCTTGATGAACCAGTTGGGAAAAGGAGTACAGTGGAAGAAGGAATGCCGGGTCTGGTCCCTCCCCTAACCTCGGGAAATGTTTGGGTATTTGGGCGTGCCCTCCGTGCTAGGAAAGGCGGCCAAGGGTTGGCATGTGGAATTGGAAGGCCAAGGTGAAGGACGGGTATCTTTGACGGGGGGAGGGTTGTACTCTAGAGGGGTTATGGTCTGCTTGGCAAGGACGAGTTTGAGTTTGAGTTATGGCATGCTCATATCTATAAAGGATAGTTATGGTTGGTTTATATATATATATATATATATATATATATATATATATATATGCTTGTTAATTTATAAATAAAGATGTGGCCTGTTTATACCACAATTATGTTTCTTGGTCTTAATTGGGGGGAGGGGAGCGGGTTTGTAGGTATAATGGGTCGCACCACCCAATAACCACTACCTATACACATGAAATATTACATTACATATTATGGGTATAATGCACACATACACACATTTGCAGAACACCCTGCATTTGTCTTGTCATATGTACTTTACTGAGGGATAAAATGTAGCTACAAAATAGCGTTGTAGCATTTCATGTAGTATTTGTTTGTGAATTATTCAGTCTAAATATAAATGTAT